CCAGTGGCTTTTCAGTCGTCTCTTACTCCTCTCCAATGGCACTACAGACTTGGTCATCCCTCTCTCAAGGCTTTGAAGCTGCTAGTTCCTTCCTTGAGTCATCTTTCATCATTAGATTGCGAGTCCTGTCAGTTGGGAAAACATCATBGAGTCTCATTTAGTCCAAGAACTGATAGTTGTGTCTCAAGTCCTTTTGCTTTAGTTCATTCTGATGTATGGGGTCCAGTTAAAGTGGTGTCATACAATGGGTTTAAGTATTTTGTAATCTTTGTTGATGACTTTTCAAGGATGACATGGATCTATCTTATGAAAGACTGTAGTGAATTGTTCTCTATTTTTCAGAAATTTCATGCTGAAATACGCACTCAATTTGGTGTTCATATGAAAATACTTCGCTCCGATAATGCCAAAGAATACATCTCCTCATCATTTCAGCAATACCTAGAACATCATGGAATAATTCATCAAACTTCTTGTGCCTACACCCCGAAACAAAACGGTGTAGCTGAACGGAAAAATAGACATCTTCTTGAAACTGCTCGGTCCTTGATGATCAATATGCATGTCCCAAAGCACTTTTGGAGTGATGCTGTTCTTACATCCTGTTTTTTAATAAATCGGATGCCCATGTCAATCCTTAGAAGTCAATCCCCTTTCTTCGTGTTGTTCCCCACTTTGTCTCCCTTTCCTCTCACCCCAAGAGTCTTTGGCTGTGTTTGTTTTGTTCAGCACTTGGGGCCTGGAGTAGACAAGCTAGATGCTCGGGCTACGAAGTGTATTTTTCTTGGCTACTCAAGGACTCAGAAAAGGTACAAGTGTTATAACCCTAAGTTTCATAAATCGTTTGTGTGCCCTGATGTCACTTTCTTTGAGTCAGTTCCTTTTTTCTCCAATGCCGGGGTCTCTTCTTTTCCCTCTGTGGTTCCTCTTCCTGTTCCGGTTGTGGACCCCCTTCCCATAGCTCCCACTCCTACTGCTGATGCACATCATATGCCAGTTACTACAGAGAGGCCGCTAATTACTCAAGTGTATCGCTTCGGCTCCTCCTCCACTTCAGCAACCGCCGACAGATCCTGCTACTACTCCTTCTCCCTCAGATCTTCATCTCCCTATTGCTTTGCGGAAAGGTAAACGTACTTGTACTTCTCATCCCATTTCAGACTATGTTTCCACTGCTCACCTTTCTGCTTCTCATTCCAAGTTTATATCATTACTCTCATCGGTTCCCATTCCCAAGACTGTATAGGAAGCCCTTGCCTCTCTAGGGTGGCGGCAAGCCATGGAAGAAGAACTCTTTGCTCTACAACATAATCATACGTGGGAACTCACCACCCTTTCTCTTGGTAAGCACACTGTTGGGTGTATACAGTGAAGCATCTTCATGATGGCAGTGTGGAACGATTGAAGGCACGGTTAGTGGCCAAGGGCTATCTCAGTTATATGGTGTGGACTATATGGAGACATTCTCTCCTGTGGCTAAAATTGGTTCAGTTCGGGTGTTGATCTCATTGGCTACTATGTATGATTGGCGTCTCCTACAACTT